GATCCCGGGGACTCCCCCCTGCCCTGGGCAGCCCATTCCAACGCCCAACAGCCCCTTCTGCACAGAAATCCTTCCTCAGAGCCAGCCTGACCCTGCCCTGGGCAGCTTGAGGCCATTCCCTCGGGGCCTGGCGCTGGGGCCTTGGCTCCAGAGACTCATCCCCCCTCTCTGCCCCCTCCTGGCAGGGAGTTGCCGAGGGCCAGGAGGTCTCCCCTCAGCCTCCTCTTCTCCAGACTGAACCCCCCCAGTTCAATTCCGCTGATGGAAACATGATGTGCATCAGAATTTTAGCTGCCGGCCATCTTGCTTTGCTCGCGAAGCAATAGTTTACGAAAGATGTTCTAACGTACCTGCGCAAATGACGCTGGCATCCTCTTTGTGATGGCAGTTATGGACAGCGATCCCTCCATGGGAGCACTCCCACAGGTTGTCTTCATCCCCTCCGCACTGCACGTCATCGAGGAGGATGCTCCCAGAGCCTTGACCAAACCGGGCTTCTGACAGAGCTTGCAGAGCTTCCCCGCACCCCAGGCTCCTGCACACCACCTTGGCGTCCGCCAGCTCCCAGGCATCGTCGCAGACCGTTCCCCAGCTGCCGTTGTGATAGAGCTCCACGCGGCCCGAGCACTGGTCGTCGCCGTCTGCCAGGCGCAGGGACGGAGCGAAGGGGTCTGCTGGGGAGAAAGAGCCCACAGAGCACATCACTGGGGTTCATCCGGGGCTTCAGGACAAGTGCCACCCCCGTGAGGACAGGAGCACGTAGCCCACAACGTAGCCTGCACTCACAAAGGGTCCTCACCTGAATTTCAGTGCGTGCAGGGTAAATATTATAATATATAAATGCTCAAACTCATCTTTCTATGTGCAATACCCAGCAGGTGTGGACAGAGTCCTCTTCCACATTGTGCTGATCTCCAGGGAAAATTCTCCCCGCCTGCTTAGCTGCCACGTCTCCCCACACTCAACGGGAAGGGTTTCTACCTCTTCTTTATCATCATTCTCATCTATACACTAGTGCCGTCTAAAGGATGAACACAAATACCCAGAGCCAAACTTTTCCTGGAATACTTTGCAATCTAAGGGATATGGTTTAATTTTCTGTGTTGCGATTTTTTTGGTGGGTTTTTTTGGCTTTTTTTTTTTTTTTTTCCCCCCCTTTAAATAATGCCTTGCTCAGCTTCTTTCCCCATCCTTGCTAACCCTCTGGCATAACAGATGGTTGGCACAGCATCATTTCCCCAGAATAGTAGCAGAGCTATTTCTACAGACCAAGCTCATTTCTGAGAGCTGGGTACTTATGGAATACTCCACACATTTATCTCACTTTCAGAGGGAAAGGCTTTTAGAGATCTGGAGTTCCAAATGAGTTTTATGGGCCTGGGGTGTATTTTTCTTTCAGAGAAAGAAATCAGAGACACTGCTGACAACATAATTGAGTTCCTCCTAGTTTGTGGCCATCATAAACTGTACCAAGTATATACACCTGTCTTACTCCTTGGTGGGTCAGCGATTACGAGGTTTTAATTTTGGGACATTTTGCTGTCACCTGGCAGCCATTTGTAACCAGCTAATGCACATCCGTTCAGAATGAGGGTCATGTTTCCTAGGACTCTTTCTCCTTAATTCCTCTTTGCCGACCATGATCAAAGCTCCTTCCATCCGAGGACCACGCTTATCATTTACTTCTGCAAAAGTTGGCTGTAAAGAAATGCCAGCAGCGATGTGCTTGGCTCACTTCCCAAGATCTAGGTCTAAACTTCTACAAGACTTTCAAATATGATTTCAGGGAGGAAAAAAAAAAAATGGGACAAAAGATAATAAACCTGGTGATCCAGGCGATGAATATTCACCAGTGATGGTGAAAGGTGTGAAAGAAAAAGTTTACAAACTGGATTATATTAGCTATCTTAAGTTCAGGTGGGACTAGTGAGAAAGAGGAAGATTAAAAATTCTATCTCTAGATCTTAAGATACAGGCAGAAATAAATTTGTTGTGATTCAGCTGATACTAAAAATGGCTTTACTGGGAGGGAGGCATCTTTCCTATTAAAGTTCTAAGTAAATGATGTATTTCATTAATCTGAAGTATGAACATCAACCTGAAATTTTTGGGGGTGCTTTTTCAGAAAACAAAGGATTGATTAAGTAACAGTCCCAAGAATCTTTAATGTGTTCTTGTGGGGGTGTCTACAGACAGCTGAAAGGCAACTTTTTACTTTCAGCAAATTAATAAGAGAAAATAACATTCGTATCTCTTCAAATTCAATGCTTTGTGCTTAGTTAAGTGTAGAATATAATCAAAGGAATCAGTTAGCATTTAGTTTTCCCGAGACTTTAACACAGCAGTTTACCTGCAATATATACAAATGAAAGTAATGAGATTATTAGTTAGGGCTATAGATGAGTCTTTTTTTTTTTTTTCCTTTAACCATTGAATAGCATCCCTGTTACACAGAAGATGCATAAATAATTTTTTTTTTTTTTTCCCTCAAATACTTGGTTGAGTAGACACAGGCAAAGCACTTAATAGTTACAAGCACATAGTTGCATAGTAATAAGGGAATTATTAGGAAACCATATATACCCCACATATTAAGTTCCTTATGTCTGCATAATAGTCAGCAGATTACTCATTTAAGAAATTCATGTTCAGCTTCTGAAAGCCAAGCAAATCAAAGTAAATCTTGAGGGACCAGCTTAATGTCTCAGTTTCACTGCTGCGTGCAAAGAAGTGCAAACTTCTTTCATTCAGCTGGAATAGAGCCCAGGTTGAATAAGTAAGGCAAGCAGCAAAATCTGACCAAAGCTCTGTAAAATATTTTTTCAAAGTAGGAAGGTTTTCATTTCTATTCTTTTGAAAGTGAACTGACTGGCAGAAAAAAGGTAAAAGAACACCGACTGAAATTTTTTTCTTCACCATGCTGAAGATCTGTCTGTTAATTTCTAAGTCAACATTTGTAGGAATTAGGGTGGATAGATCCTAGATCTGGAACGTGAAAATATTGTTCAAAATAAGGTTAATGGGTGGAGCAGTAAGCAAATCTGTATTACAATTTCCAGTGCTGCTACCAGGGGTATTGAGTCACAGCTCTGAACTTCTGACAGCATAGATAAGGCTGTAGAAGATGAGTAGTGTTAAAAGAAGTTTGAGGAGTTATCAGTTGCTTTGCTAATTGTTTATCACGTTATGCAGCATCTTGGACTGACAGATGGTATGGGGGTTAAACAGCCAGTCACAGCTACCAAACCATAATGAGATCCTCAGCCCTCGCCACTGAAACTGGAACAGCACAGAGCGGCAGAAGGAAAGGCAAGATCTGTGCGCTCGCTGGAGGACACGATGAGAATTCAAAACCATCTTCACAAACTGAATAAATGTCAAAAGTCAGCAAGCTGGAATTCAATACAGACAGGTGGAACGGGCTGCTCATTGGAAAGAGAAAAAAAAACAATGCACAAAGGCAAAATCATCCTTTCAGCTGGCACAGAAGGACCATGGAAAAACTGGAGCTTGGTAATGTTAACGCTACGGTGAGCCAGTTCAGTCTCAGCCTTGCTCTCAGGGATACACGGGAGCTACTTGTTCTCCTTGGTGCTAAGGAGAGCTCAGCCGCTTGGTTGGTGGCTGCACATTTAGGAAAGAGAGAGGTAATGGGGACAGCTTGGATGAACGCATCAAGAATATAATAGGCTTGAAAATCATCACCTCTGCGGAGAGCTTTAAAGAGCTGAATTTAGTTTATGTGGGAAGTGTCTTTCGCCGCTCTGAAGAGGGGTCACCTAAAGAGGGTGCCCACAGAGAGCTAAAAGTAGGCACTACAGAAAATGCCCATCAGTAAAAGAACTTTGAATATAGCGTCCAACACATTTTTTGGTGTGTCTCGAAAATATCTGTCAAGTCCAGAGGCAAAATACACCTAGTCATCTTTCCCTGGTGGAGATTTGCAGAGCAGTTTAAAGCCTACCGGTGCTACCAATTTCTGCTTCATTAGGACATAAGACAGCATGTGGTGGGTAGGAAGGTCCCAGCTCAGCTGATGTCTGACAAAACAGCGCTGTCTGGCAAAATTCTGGTTTTAAGATTTTTTTAATGCCTAAGAAATTATTTCATAGATTAATTAAAACAGCTCATTCGTTTAAAACCTGTATTTAATATATATAAGAATTATTTTATTGTATGTAATTTATTGTATTAGATATAATATTTGTATTTATTGTATTTAATAAAAGATATTACAAAATGGATGATGGACTAAAAGTTGACCCAACAAAGAGAATGGGGAAAAGGTGGGACACGCACACACACTGCAGCATGATCAGCCCTGAAGAAGGGCTGGACCTGAGCTCTGTATAATTTCATTTCTCCTCCCCGAGGACCACTGAGAAGTGCTGAGGAGGAGTACAGGGATGGGACAAGCATACACGGTATGCCCAGAGTTGTCCCCTAGGCACCTGTTTGCAGCTCGGGGACTTTCTGAGCCCCAAGTGGTGCCTCGTGTGGTGATGCAGGACAGAGACATTTCTGCTCCTAAAGCACACAAAGCACCCGGGTTGTATCTGGTGGTTCCTTACCTTCGCTCAGGGTAGATGGAGATGCTGGAGCTGTTAATGGCTCAGTACTGTCTGTGACTGCAGGAGATGTGACCACGTCATCTGTTTCTGTGACAGAATAATCTGTTGAAGCTTTGAGGAAAAATGCAATAGGAACAATGAACAATAATGACCAAATATGAATATGAACCAGAATTACATTTTTGGTTGAAACGATCTGGATTTGCTATAAAAGTGTGAAAATGCAGGCACACGGACTTACCCCTTGCATTTCTACGCAAGTCTCTACCGCGACATAATACCATGATAAATAAATATTTTAAATCTGGATTTTTAAGCTTCTTTAGTTACAGGAGAATGAAGTAATGTGTTCTTAGCTCTCTTCATTAAAACTTCATTACGTACATTTACCGTATGGCTTTCCCTTAGGTCACTTAGACTCAACATTGATTTTGCAACTATAACTTTGTCTTTATAAGCTGTGCTTAGATTTTCTGGTGTAGGTATTTTCTCAGTCTCTTCATTTACAGAAATGGATGCAAAAGAGGAATACAGGAATACTGAAGGGACTGTGAAAGAGTTGAGGAAATACATTATTGGAGAAAAACATTATCAGTGATAGAAACTAGAGCTGATGATTGCTGATAGGATTTTGATTATGTCCTTGAAGGAGAAGTGAATTGGATTGTAGCTGCTAAAATCTGGTCATTTCAGTCAAAACTTCAAGTAAATAATTACTCAGGTAAGGTGATATTTGGTCAACGTTGACAATAAGGATGTGGGCAGCAGATCTGGGCAGCAGATCAGACTTTCTGCTGATATTCTCCATAGGCAGCTCCACAGAACAACTACAGCCATCATTAATTCCTCAGTGAGAGAGTCCAACAGGGATGAGTGGGAAAGTCTAGAGAGCCAGCTTCTGTACTGTGTCGGGCGGTGGCATCTCCATCTTTAAGACTGGGAAAGACGTATCAAAGATCATTGAATCTTTAAGGTGAAGATTTCCCAGTCTGATTTAATCATTGATGCTCCACTTCCCAGACAAAAACACTGGTATTTGGTTACTTTTGCCGATGCCTAAACTATACAAATAGCAGAAGAAGCTTAAAGCTCTAAACTGTTCATAACTGCGTACCTCCCAAAATTTAACAGCCCAATATTTTAGAAGTGCAGGGTTTAGAAGCTGGATGCTTTCTTCATTGAGACGATTAATTAGCAGTTAACTGAGCTGAAACTTTATGCAGTTATTGTAATCCTAACAGTAAAATCTATTTTAAACAAACTGAAACACTATTATTTTTAGATTTTATGGCATAGTGTCTGTTCTTACCTTCAACAGCTGTGGAAGGGATTTCTGGAGCTGAGGTGCCACTGTCTCCTGTAAGCGGGGTGGGTGAACTGGATAATTCTGCAGTATTTTCAGAGGCTGGGAGAAGAAGGAGAAAACATAGAAAGGAGGGAAAGTGCATTCAGTCAAGGCTGAATGACTGAAATCAGCTACAGATGAATTTAATTGCCTTCAGGCTTCCTGGAAAAAAGAGTCCGTGTAGTAGTTGTCTTCCACATCCATTAACATGGCTCAGAAATGGGTCTTCATGTTAATGCTTTGCATTACAAGCATCTGAAAAGTTTCAGACTTCTTCCACCAAGAGTGAGAAAAGCTGGCCAGAAAGCCAGCAGGTTGGTACCACGCAGATGAAGTTCACAGACAAGCATCAGCTGTACTGAGAGATGATGATGATTTTGCAACATCTCTTGGCATCTCCACTGATATTCCCTCTTAAGCAAAACCTATAAGCACCTTTTCTAGTATGCTACAGGTTGTGCAAATGCCCTTCACCTGTCTGCAGAACACTCAGGGTTTCTATTCCACCCCTGCGATGGTGGTGGAAGCCAGGGAGGCACCTGTGCTACCAGAGCAAGCTGTAACGATGAGAAATTAAGCGGTTGCAAATAGCAGTTAAAAACACAAGTGTGCTTTGAGGAGCTTGTGACTTGCTTTAGGTCTCAGACTTGACAGAAAACCGTGTTATCAGTCTGCTAAATAATTGGAGAGGCAGAGGTCCAACTGAGGAAAGTGAATGCGAATACCTGGCGGTGCTCTTTAATCTTTCTGGAGTTTTTATGAATCTCAGACACACAAAATCACAATGATCTGATCACTTTTGCTTTACTTCAACGTGTGGTATTTATAGCTCCAAGCTCTGAGGTATTAATCATTAAATGCATGCATTCCTGATAAGTCCTGACAGCCTGATATTTCTGAAGTGAAGATGTCCTAAGGGGGTTATTCCTTCACAGAGATGTTTAATTTGTAGTTGTCTGCTATGAATGTTTTACAGATTTACATGGTCACATCTTAATTCACCTGAAAACCTCAAATTAACAAAACAGTTGTGTAAAAAAAGCGCTTGCAGAATGGCTGTTCTTACCTTTATAAGCTGTGGATGGGATTTTGGGAGTCGATGTGACAGCTTCCTCTGTGACAACAGTGGGCACAGGAGACGTAACTGAGGCTAAGAGAAAGTTGAGGAAATACAAAGAGGAGAGATTGGCAGCAATTAGGAGTGAACATGTGAACTGAAATCTTCATGAAAGTAAGTGGATCTGGGCTTTGCAGGACAGTGAGTCAATGCATAGCTTTTTGCTGAAAAAAAAAAAAAAAAGAATTTCCTCTTCATTTAATATTTAGTAATAAAGATAGTAGATATTTCTGCCTGCATTCTTTTACTACTAGAGATGCAATGGTTGTTTGGAAAGATGCAAAGTGGCCATTGTTAAGGGAAATAAAGAATGAGCTTTTTCTCGTGCTTTGGAAGTGACTTCCAGCATGCAAGTGTGTCTCACCTTCCTCGAGGGTTGTCAAGGTCCCTGGAGCAGATGATGTGTCGGCCGCAGTTGTGCTTGGGCTGGGTGCAGAGGAGGAATCTGCAGAAGTGGTCAGGGGGCAGGGAAATATGTTACTAAACAAAATCATCACCATGTAAAAGAAAAAAAACATTTCAAGGATCTGTAAAATCATTAATACTTCAGGCTTCATGGAAAAGAAAGTCAGTTCCCGGGACTTTGTGCTAATGTGGCTCGGAAGAACATCTTCCAAGTAGTAATTATAAGTGAGCTTGGGAGACTGATGCAACTGGTGCACCTCTCAGCAGGGTATAAACACACCTCACTTCCGTTCGATCTTTGCACTAACTTAAGAACCAGGAATAATTAAGCAAGGTTATTAAAGGAATTGAAGGTGAAGAAAATATCCAGGTAAGAGTGCCCCAGATGAACTGATTGTCAAGATCTCACCGTACATACATACAGTCTTGATAATTGTGCATGCAGGTGGGCTTAATCACGTACCCATTATCCCTCCAACCACATTTTCCTCTGAAAATGAAGATAGTGTTGGCCACTGGCCTATGAAAATAAAGATAGTGTTGGCCATTGGCTCCCCCAAGGCTAATTACATGCAGAGTTATTAAATATTTTCACTGAATTTCCAGTGTTCCTCCTGTCTGCTCTAAACAAATTGTGTATATGGCTCAAAATTTCCGCACATGACGTTTGCAGGTTTGGTTTTTTTTTTTCCCCTCGCCTTTGCTAGCAAATGTCAGGGGTTCTGTGGTAGATGTCCCAACAGTGCTGTCTGTGGAAAATGTTGGTGCAGAAGTGGAAGTCTGGGGCTCCTTTGAAGTTGCTGGAAGTCAGAGGAAGTAAATGATTAGAGAACTGTAAGAATGGTCATGAGAACTGAAACGCTGGTCAAGTGATTTAATCCTCAGGTTTTATGCAGCACTGGGTTAGTGCACCAGACCTTAACTTCTGGTGGAGTGAGTGAGATTTCTGTTGATTAATGGCAGTTCTAAATGAACTTCAGAAATATTTGCCAGTGGTGCCATCAAGGGCAGAAATCATGTGCAGAATATGCTGCGACAGTTCAGGGCTACTACAACGTGGTTTTGCGGGTTCAGGTTTTGAGAAAAGATTTTGGGAACCAACCTCCTGTGCTACATATAGAAAAAAACTACATTTTAGCCCCCATTCCTCTGTGTCTGCATTACGAAGAGCATAATTAACTCAACGTTTAAAAACCCCAGGAAATGTGAGTAAAGTCTGTAAGGTTTCCAGGGTGCTATGATTATAGGAACAGGAAAAAAAAACCAACAGGATTCAGAAGCTTAGACCTGGAATGTTAAGACTTGCTTTATGTTTTCCCTAATTATTAGTAGATGAGTAGCAGATACAGTTCCTATGAGCAATCCGAAGAACAGAAATAATGTTACAGTGGGTGAATAAATAGTAATTTGGAGCAATAACTAGTTATTCAGGGCATACCTTTCTAGAATACCGTCTGCCAAGGGGCTGTAATCGCGTGATTTTTGAGTTAAAAAATTAGACTCTGAGCATTTCAGGAGACTGTGACGAGCCAATGGACTTACATCTCAAACCCCCTGCCCTACCTGATGGTGCAACCGTGGAGCGTGCCACACTTCTGAACATTAAAAAAAAAGCGCAAAAATTTACTTTTATTGTGCAGTTATTTATATTGCTTCCAAATAGGCTGCTTCTAGCTATGCAGTCTTTGATTTGACTTATGTTTACGACACGAGTGTTAGTTTTTATTTTTAATTCGGACATGCCCATTTCACATCTGGATGTGCTTCTATATCCTCTTAACTTGTTACCTTCCTTATCTTGGGAACAGCCCGTAACCAGATGTGGACTAAAGTGGGCCTGAACTACCCTCTTTTCACCATTTTCATGCTCAGTGCTTGTGCTACACCTGGTATTTTGTCCAGGACACCTTTTGTTCCTCAATCATGCAGAGCAGCCTAAACACGAGGAGCCTCCACATGCACACGTTTCAGCTCTAGTCTGATTTCCGAGCTCTGCTCTGATGTTTTTTGCATTTATGGTCAACAGGAAAATCCAAAGAGATTTTTAAGAGTGCATAACTTCTTTTTTTTTTTTTTTACCTGAACAGATGACGCTGACATCCTCATGGTGTCCACAGTTATGTGAGCTCCAGGTGCCGTGCTGGCAGTCCCAAAGGTGAGATTCAGTTCCTTTACACTCCACATCATCCAGGTGGATGTCTCCTTTTCCAGGGCCAAAATAAGACTGTCCCAGGACAGAGACAATTTGACCACAATGAAGCTGTCTGCAGACAACACTGCCACTATTCATATCAAAGTGATCATCACAGACTGTCCCCCATTTGCCTTTGTAGTAAACTTCAACCCTCCCGGCACATCGGTCCTCTCCAGATACCAGTTGCAGTTGTGGATTTTCTGAAACAAAAGCAAAAATTAACAAGTAAAGCGTCTCCATTTGTTTATTTCAAGTATATCTAAAATTCTTACATCTAAGCTTGCATCCCCATCTCTGCAGGGGTGGACTGCCCAGGGTTTCTGTGTCCCCAGTACCCCGGGCTTACTGGGAAATGCCTGCAGTGCACAGAGCAGTCCAGGGCAGGGAGCTGGACAGCAGAGCCCAGATCGGTGTGGTTAATTCAGCCCCGTTCACACGGCTCTGCTGCGTACAGGACCTGGTCTCTGGGGGAAGGTTCTCGTTGGCCGTGCTGGTGAGAAAACCAGCTCACCCAGAGCTGCCTCCTGTAACTCTACAGGTGCGCTCGGTATGTTCACACTCACCCTCTTACCTTTGGGTTTAAATTTGTCTTTTATCCACTTTGAAAATTGCCACAGTAAGTTTTCACCTCCACTTGCTGAGCTTCCTGGTGAGTTCCACCACGCACTTGCTGTGGCAGATAAGAAAACGTATTAGCATTGATGTAACATACTACAATTCTAGGTATGTTTTGTGTTTTGTTGTGAGTACCCGGTATGTGTTGATGCAGAGTTAGATACAGTACATGTTGGTATGTGGGGTGTTTTCAAAGCAACCCTGCAGTTCCTCCTTGTGACGGGACGGACAAGCTCATTTCCTCATAGTTCAGTGGAAGATGACTCTAGAGGACCTTATTTCATGGCAGCACAAAGAGCAAAGGGATATGACCCCAGAAATCCTTGTGTACGTCCTTCACCTCTAGTGAAGACATGGGCTGTGGGAGCTGAGCTTTGCTGAATTTTACCAAGGTGGTGGAAAGGGTGCCTGACCTTTGCCATATGTGATTACCACAATAGCAGGGGAGGCTGTGGACCATTTGTCCGTGCAGAACATGACAGTTGTTTTGGCTGAGAGCCCAACCTGTTAGCTTAAATCTTTGCAAATGCCTGCTCAGGTCTGTATGGGAAGCCCAACTTTGTCTGACTCTGCAGTGATGAATATACTACATACTGCTTAAGGTATTTAAAAACGTATGTTCGATTAAAGCAGACCATGGCATCATGGTTCGGGTACCAGGGGATGAAATAATCTTCCAAACCAGGATACAAACCTGTGGTCTGACAGTGTGGTTTTATAATCTGTAGTTTTAGTCACGTCTGAAAATCTACTTATGTTCACTGAAAGGAAAAAGGATTTAGGCTGCTAGGGGTCGAAGCAATGTTTTCAAATGGCAGGTTTTTTTAAATAATATCCTTGCTTTTTCAGAATCAGCATGCTCTGGAGATCTGTGCCTGATTCAGTCACTAAAATCAGGAGAAATTTCATGTGGGGATATTTTTTTTTTTTCTTTCAAATTGGCATTTGACTTTCAGACAGTCACTTTCACAGACTTTTACTTTAGTGATGCTAAAGTCCTGGGTTTGCAAGACAGGATCCCAAGTGATTTTTCCAGTCAAAGTTAATCCAGTCTACATTGGGTCAAATCAAAGACAAAAGTGAACCTCTGAAATAAGGACAAAGATTATAGGCTTGCTGAAGTGCTGGGGTTTGACCAAGTTCTTGAAATGAAGCTTAGTCCTCTCTATACTGCACCTCCCTCTGGATGGCCTTTGCTCTTGTCTTATAAATAATATAACAAATCCCTTAATCTTGACTCCATGTAATTATCTCTTTTTGTAAGGGATTGACGAGACTTTATTTGTGGCGTCCACACTGATAATTAAAGATCAAAGTATCTCATTCAAACTACCAAGATCATAAGGAAGGTTTGGGGTTATTATTGCTTGAAGTTTGAAGGAACATAGCACTGCAGTAAAATATATTTCCACCTGTTGTCTGGCAGGCTGTTTTGTGTTTCTTTTTCTCTCTTCCTCTACGTTTTTAAATGTACATTATAGAAGAATTTAAATTAAAAACTAGAATATTGGAAGAAGGCTGTTTAGAGAACAACTTCCCCAAATTATTCTCTCACAGAAGAGAAACAGAGAAAATATTCTTCAGCACCTCCAGTTTTGGAATTTAACCTATGGGCTTGATCCAAATCACTAAATTAAAAGATAAATTAAACCAACAATTTTATGGTACAAATCTTGTCAGCAATATTCTAGGAGACTCTTTGCCACACTTCCCAGCAAGGCAGTCTGTCAGTAACTAATTCTGTCTGTAACATTTCCCCACAAGCTTGGAAAAAATTTAGATACAGTACCTGGTTCAGATAGAAGAGTAGCACTTAGCAGCAACCAAGTGAGACTCACTTGAGGGCCCATTTTCATTGCAGTTGTGTGTTCTAACCCAATGCAGTTTCAGAATTTATACTAAATGAGTTCTGGTCTGCATCAAAGGTGTGTGCTGTGCAATTTGATCTTTCTTCCTGAACTTCCAGATCAATGCCAAGGAAGTGATTTACTGAGTATTTTCATTTCACAGGGTACATCCAGACATCCGGATAAGTAGATCCAGATCACAGTGCTGTTCCGGACCGGCTACCAAGGTCTTCCCAAACACTCCCCAGGCACCTTTTTGGCCGTGTGTTGATGATGTGGTTGTTCCAGGAAGCAGTGATTTACTTTTGGAGATTAGGCTGTTTGGTAAGGATTCTCATACCACCAGCTAAATTGGTTTTCAATTTACAACCATAATAAACCACATTAAACTGGTGTGAGAATTGTGCCAAGAGAAGATTAGCATCCTAAAAATGTCAGCAAAGGCTCGACCAAATTCTCTCTGTCTGCTACAGATTATTCCTGTAAGAAGCAGTTTCTATGCTTTTTCATATTTCTCTGACTCCTCTTTAATGTGGGACTAAATCCCTCTATCATGTCTCAGATCTGCAGTTATCTTTCTCTCATTTGCAGCCTACAGAGCAATAAAATGTCTGTAAGAGATATCGGCCAAGGCATGGTTGGGTGGGAAGAACTGTTTTGGGGGGTAAATAAGCAGGGCTAAACTACAACAACCAAGGAAATGGAGCAAGATAGGGCCAGAAGGTGCCAAATTAAGGCAAACAAGTCAAGGAATCTGTGTGTAAAAACAGAGAAGCATGACCAATCGCCATACCCTGTGCTGGGGAAGACCAGTGTAGACTTGAAGTCATGAGGCGCCATGGAGTGATCTGCACTGATTTGATGAGATCCCTGAGAGAATGATGAGCGCTGATGGAGCCCAGCAGGGAAAATCCGAATGAGCTTCATGAGCCAGGAGGTTGTGAAGGGAATTAGTCACCTTCCCTACTTTACAGTAACCATAAATGCTGGACACGATGAATTCCACTAATTCATGCCCTGCTCTCCATCACCAGTTTCACAGCTGGTGTGTTTCTGATCAAACTAGACTGAGATTTTCTCCTTGTCTTCAAAGGACAAAAGTACACATGCTATCTGATAGTCCTGTGTGTTACATCCCTCATAAACATAGGTGGCACGGAGCCTAAGGAAGTGGAGCCTTTGTCCGTTAGGGCCTGTGAGACATGCTTTTGGATCTGTGAGATGTTGCACAAAGGAATCGAGCTACAATATATTTTTCAGGTGAAAGGGAGAAACTAGAAACAGGTTTTTATTCTAGTGGCAGGAGATAATGCGATCATAGGAGGAGATCCAGAAGATATTGTAGTGCCAGTATAAATACAAATTAATAAAGGATTGGAAGAAAATATGAAAAAAAAAAGTCATCATGACAAGGAAATATACAACAGGCCACTCTGGAGATCACCCTTTGCCACCTGTTTTCATGGTATCTTTTCAGATTAGGTCACTTGCATGAAAAAAGGGAATTCCATCTAGAAAGACCAGCTGGCAAATATTTGCCTCTAGCAAAGCCACGGATCCAACAGGATCCCTCCAGCATGCAGTTTTCTCCCTGGCATGAGGTGATGTTGTTAACACCACTGTGGCCTCCGATACCCCAGAGGATGCCTCCAGCTCTGTCTCACTCTGTACTGCCAGGGAGAAGACGAGAAGCTAGAGAGAGAAAAAAAGCAAAGCTAAATTTTTTTTAGCTGATTCAAAAATGAACACAAATTCTTTCTTTCTGCAAATGCTCTTCTTATTTTCTTAGCACAGTATGATGTGTGATATCTATCTAGATATTCATGTTCTTACCTTCACAGTATCTTCCTGTGCAAAACCGGTCATGTCAAATATCTAAACTCCTAGCTCCACGTGTCTGTATTAAATTCTTTGTCATTTTCTGAAGTGACTAAGTGGGTTTATAGTAGATTGATATCAATATACTTCTATCACGTAGCTTTAAGTTGGGCCTGAACACTACAGTATGTACCAGTTTTCTTTCCTGACAGCAATTAAGCTATTTCATACAAACATTTTTTCACTTTTGACTGAAAAAGAGATTTAGAAACAAAACTCCAACGGAAATCTCATTAAGATTTTATTCTCAAAACAATGACTAACAAATTTGTTATATCTTGTGATTCGACCCAGATCTAAGTGCTCTGCATTTAAGGGTTTGGATCTAAACAATGTCACATAGAAGACACAGAAGTCTGATGTGTTTGTGCCATTTCGATGCACTTCATATCCACCTCATAATGAAAGTATTTATTTGGCTGCTGCTGGACTTTCAATAATATTCTCTCTAGGAAGTGTAGAGTTCTGTAGAAATAGCTGATGTGTCAGTTGGGTGACTCAGCCGAGCTGTGCTCAGCAGTAAAGCTACTTGTCCAAGAAACCCCATGCAGCAGGAGCATGGGTGATAATGGAAAGTGGGGACATAATTCACATTATCTGGTTGTAGACGTGTAATATATTTAGAAACTAAACTCTTAATCAGTCGTATTTCAATGCACCTCTATTTGGATCCTCGATAAAGGGATAGGAAAATATGGGGAACATGGCTGAACGCAAATAACTTGAATATGAAGAAGCGTCAAAATTTGCTTTTTCAGCATTCCCCAGTGTCTTTTATAAAACAGGTCCTAAAGAAGACATCAGTCTCAGCAAACGTGCGGAGAGCTGAGAACTTTTCTACCTACCTCTTGCCTGGTGAGGCTGGATGTCACCTCAGGCTGTTTTACACCATATCTAAGAAGTAATGGTGGTAGGTGGGAATGCTAGCAGGGACAGAAGGTTTGAACAGCTAATCTGTAGTGATAAGTGACAAAGAATGACCAGCCTCCACGTCAGACGCTGCAGCTCCTGTCACAGACGTGGAAGGTGGCATGAGAAGGGGGGTGGTAAGCTTTCAGCCCAAAGCTAAGCAAGCAGACTAATCCTGCGAGGCAGGAACCAGCAGTGATGACAATTAGGGATGACCTTTGTGGTCTTGGAGTAGCAAAGCTGTTTCCCAGAACATCTTCTTAAAGAAATCTGTCAAAAATCGCTCATAGAAAACAAACCGCATTTGTCTGTAGTGAAACAGTTTTACGCTGGAGGTTGGGTTTTATGCACTTGCAAAACTACCCCTCCCTGGAAATAGATTTTTATTTTTTTTTCCAGCTTTTTCTAACTACGTATGAATTTCAGCGAGTATTTTGTGTGGTGCAATCTAGGATCTGAATAGTGGGGAAGTAGCATTCCTAAAGTATGGGCTATAAGCGTGCGTACACAGACAGAGCTATGGGTGTGTTTATGGGACATATTCTCACAGAACGCCTTCTGCTAAGGAACAGGCTCTCCGGGAAGTCATTCTGCTCTGCAGATCTGGGTGGGCAATTTTTTCCAGCATTTTCCAAAAAAAGTAAGCTCACCAAAGGCGTTTAAACATCTAATTTACATGGAAAATTAGTGTTGTAATTTCCATAAGGGTCTAACGTAGTTTAAAGAGCTAAAAGCAAGGAGAAAATGAAAATTCGGAGCTGTTCTGGAGGCTCCTGCCACTGGAGGGCAGCGAGGCACTGTCCTTGGGGACGAGCATCTTTCTGGGTAAGATGGTCTAACACTGTGTTTGTAGGGTCCATAAAGATGGTCTAACAACACAGGGCCTTGGTAGGGTCCGTAAAGAGGCCTCCACTTCAGCAAATACCTTTAAAAGCAAGCAGACGTGAAAATAAAAATATGCAACAGACAGCTACAAACAGCAGGACCATGGTTTCCATTCCTCACCTACCAGCTGCCAAGGTCAGAGGATATGTCTGTGCCCAAATGGAGATTGGGAGAAACTCGAGCCCACCCCAGGCATCCATCTATTTCATCTTCCCTCGTTATCGCGTAACCCTTGACACCTGATAGCTCTCATTTCTAATATTTATAAAAGGATTTCACTGCAGTATCTTTGAAGGAATAAACAAGGGCTGACTGCCTTTCTCCTATACATGTATTTCTTCTACAAATACTTATTTGTTTCTCTTCTTCCCTGAAAAAAAAAGAAATTACTGGTGTGTGTGAACTCACGGAATGGTGCACTTTTTTCTTTGCTATAGTAATGTATTTGTGACTTCTTTAAATATACTTACTGCACTGTCCAGATGTCTTACACAACAAATCCTGATTTTTGCTGAACCCATTGCCTTCCCAACGGTCTGATAATGGCCATGTCCAGTTTGCTGCCATGGTGGAGGTGTTTGCAGTGCCAGAACACAGAAACAGCCCGGGCAGGTCTCAGCTAGTGGGGCTGAGGGGCCAGAGTGACAAAACCTGGATCCCTACACAGGTAACTCATCTCCTTCAGGGCTGACCTGGAGAGATGAGGGAAATTCTCAGGTCATGAAACACCTTTGCTAAGGACCTGCTTAGCTGTTTGAAAAATAGTGTCTTTTCGTAGTGTGATGGAAAATGATTCAGTTCAACATAGTAAGGACAAGCCAAAACATTGGTTTCAGAAGAAATGTCATGCTTTGCTTCATTAGTTTTACCTTCTGTTTCTAAAACCAGAGAAGAAGGACTAACTTCAGAGGAACTTTTGAGGCCTCAAGATGTACATGTAAATGAAGGCTCCTTATTTTTTCTACTTTGGAAATAAACATAGGAATGAAATAAAACATTGCCAAAGAGTGGCAAGGTGGAAAAGATGCACAAGTGAGCAAACAGAAGAGCCAAAGACTGACTTTTTTTCTACATTTCCCATCCCCAATCCCTGCCACCTCAGGGGCAGCAGATTTACCTGATAACAGCAGTCCTTGTCCTGTGTACACACATATTTCTGCATGCCTGTTGTGAGCAGTGGGCTGGGTGCAATGTGTGTGCAACAAAGGGTGATGAATAGCTACAGTGCAACTTGGTGCTATGATGCACATTTGGAAATGCAATATTCTGTTGAGGTTTGGAGACCCTGGGTGTGTGCCTGGTGACTTGCTCCCATTCTGGCCCATGATAAATATTCAGCGCTGCTGTTACCCATGCCATCTCTGTGTGAAGCTGTGTAGTGCCTTAATATTTGTTGCTTAGCTGTCCAGACATATTCTCAATTATAATTGTGTATTCTTTCAATGTGTTGTTTTTTCAGGTTTTCTCTCAGCCAGCCATTCCACTAAATTCAACACCAATAAGTTCATGGAGTTGTAGAATCACAGAATGATTTAGGTTGGAAAGGACTTTAAAGCCCATCTAGTCCAACTCCCCTGCCACGGGCAGGGCCACCTTCCACCAGCCCAGGTTGCCCAAAGCCCCGTCCAACCTGGCCTTGAACCCTTCCAGGGAGGGGGCAGCCACAGCTTCTCTGGGCAACCTGTGCCAGGGCCTCACCCCCCTCACAGGGAAGAATTTCTTCCTCATACCTAATCTAAGTCTACCCTCTGTCAGTTTAAAACCATGACCCCCTGTCCTATCCCTACTCCCTTTCAGCCCTGGGAGGCCGCTCTAAGGTCTCCCCGCAGCCTTCTCTTCTCCAGCTGAACCCCCCAACTCTCAGCCTGTCCTCACAGGGGGGGCTCCAGCCCCCAAGCATCTTTGTGGCCTCCCCTGGACCTGCTCGAGCAGGTCCGTGTCCTGCTGTTGGGGCCCCCATTCTGAAATGAAAGGTATTGTTGCACACTGAAGAACATGCAGAGAAAAGGCCAAAGCCCAGGTGAAATAAATCTCGTCCCCAATAACCTTCAAACAGATTCCCTGCATTTATTGGTGAAGCAAAGTGAAAACTTCACATGGGAAGCCATCTTCTGCACACAAAACTGAGTTTCGAGTGCTGGGTCTGGATTCCTTGTCCCAGAGGAGGATTGCCTTGGGGTAAGGGTGTCACCATGCAGCCTCTGGAAACCCCAGTCCGTCCCTGTGAATCCTGCGAGGGAAAATCTTCCTCAGAGATGAGGGCTATGCCAATGTAAATGGGTATCAGTGATCTCTGCACACAGTAGGACAGGTCGTTTCATCCTGTTACCCAGCTAAGGCTTTGTGTCAACACAGGGTGCTTATCTTGGCACATGCTGCATTCTTGCAGTTTTTCCGGCTTTTCATGTTCACGTGGCCAATGGTACAGTCTTAATAAAGAGGTTTTCTCCGCTTCTAGCAAATCCCTTTGATCTCAGCAGGTACCAGGGGTAGGGGTCACTCAGGGTACCACCAGTGCTGGTGACTGTCTCCAGCACCCTTTAAGCATTTGTTATTGCAAAAACGAAAGGGGCCTTCTAGTGCATCGGGGGTGTCAGGGAGTGAGGTGTGACTAATACGGCCTTTAGATTTCTTTTAAGTGGATTTTGATAGTAAAATCACTGCAATAAGAAACGGCGATTGACACGCACAGTCTGACCAAATGGTACCTGTATCCCAAAGTCTAATTCTTTCAAGAGTTAAGATCCCTTTATGAAAGCTACATTTCTATTTAGAGCTTTAGCTCCTGAGAATCTGGGGAGACTGTAACAATTTCATAGGATTTTGATTCAGAGACATCTCTACATAAGAATAATCAATACATTACTTATTAAAAAGTGCACAGAGACAACACACAACCCAGCACATAAACGACAAAACCCCAACCCAATTCAATCCCGTATTAAAGTAATCAAAGCTCAAATCACAGAAGAGGAGAGAGGAGTATCCTGAGCCAATGTTTTCACTGGTTTTGATTAATTGGCTCCTGATACTCCTCATGAGTGGTGTTCAATGAATGAAAAAAATTGATTAGGGAAACTCACAAATGCTTCTCTGGAGAAACCGCTGGGAGTTGTGCCTGCATAAAACTCAAGGATTTTTTAATGCAATTTTAGAGCCCTAGTGGAAGACTTCAGCAGGATCCGTGCATGGTT